CGCTTACGCTCCTGACGGTTTCGTGTTTTCTTAGGAGGACTGTCTGAAACGAGAAGCCCCGATCCACAAAAGATAACAGCTTAACATGAAGCATCCATGATCAGCAGCTCCAAGAACAGCCCAGTAGATCCCAAACCTCAAAAGGCCCAAGCCCGCTCTCTGGTCATTTCTTGGCAGGAGTCGCCACTTTGCACTTGAAGACTTCCTGGGGAGACAGTCTGGCCGCGAACTTTGCAAGTCTAACTTTATTTACATTTCGGCTAGCAAGTGAAGGTAAGACCGCAAGCCTGGGGCTTAGAGCGTTCCATCGTTTCGCCACCAGTGCTGTGCATAGTACGAAACAACCTTCGCGGTGTGCCGTCCCTCTTGCTTCCAAATTTGGTACGGAGTGCTTGCTGTCGTGAATGACCGGCGAAGGCTATACTATTTTTGACAGAGCAACCCCCGTTGATCTTTAGCACTGCTAGATGCTGCCCAGACCCAAAACAAACGCGGATGCCATGCATCAAGATTGTATCTATCGGCGAGACCAGGAAACGTGGTCCGTACAACGGGTAGCATGCTCATGAGTTTCACCTGCCTGCAATAACATGCAAACAGCTCCAACCCAAATTCTGCCAAAGCGATGGACAGCATCGTGGGTGCAATCGAGGCTCTCCAAACGATCCCGACCCCAGTCGGTCCACGATCTTCAGCCTCGGATTTGGGGCTCTTCATTCAGCCAATGACTGCTTTCGGCGCTTCTCGCTTTGTGCGTCTGCGTATTGCTATTGCTACTATTTTTCATTCTTTGCAAAGCTGACAGGGCCTTTGCTTGCGGCAGGAAATTTTACGAGCAGGGGCATCACACAACCAACTGTGAGACTCTTGTGTGACAAACCTTCGACCTCAGACAGTGTTCTCAGGACCAGGACTAAGACGGGCCCGGAACCCACATCGACTTTGCCTGGGAATGCTTGAGGCATTTCGAAAGAAGGATTCGGGCTCGCGCGTTGCAATTGCTCGCGGCCCTTTCCTGGCTGGGAGGCCTTGTTCAAAGGCCGCTATACAGGAAATGGAAAGAACCCGACACTTCCTTGTCTAACCCGACAAACCCACTCCTGCTCCAGTATAGATTTGTCAACTCTAATCACAGCTGAGTTGCCGCTTTCTCCAGAAATAGGGTAATTCTGGGAATGACGCGCTGGTCTCCGCGAAGCCTGCACTTCTCAAAAGGATGCGGACCCATCTGGTGGAGGTGCCACAGGACTTCGTAGTCAGGCAACAAGCTTTTCTTGAGTCTCGGGCTGAGACGCAAGGCCTGAACCCAAAGGCCTCCCGAGTAGATTACAAAGTCAGTTGTTTATCTTCGGTGGGCTGGGCTTGGAAGCTCCAGAAGCCGGAGCCAAGCCGACAGCTCTCTATGGCTCTTTCCCAGGATCCGACGGCCCTCGAAGTCATCGCTACCACGACCAGAAGAACAGCAATTCTCCGAGAGTGGAAACAAGTACACGCGGCACTAGATAGGTCTCGTGATGGTTGTGGTCGTCATCTTGGTCGTCATCATCTTCCTCAAGGTTGTTAATATCACCTGCCCAACTCTGGCCATCATCATCATCATCATCATCATCAGCACTTTCATTACCATCAACGCCATGATATTGATTACTACGGTCCCCTTCGGCGAGTGCTGTCTGGTACTCGTACCTGCTCCCTTACGGATCCTGATCCTGGTGCACAACGCGATCCAAGCTCGCTGTCCCAGCCCCTGCTTCCCCATCTTCATCAACTACCTACGGTTCTCGCCATGCCGCTACGCATGTTATCGAGAAGCGGCTGCAAAATACCAGCAGCAACATCCTATCACCACTACGCACCATCTCCAATCAAACATTCAGATCATCGTGATCAAGGACCACGTAGGATAGGCATCTATCTCACGATGTCATGAGACTGAGAAGGCTTGCCAGTCGCCTGAGATCCGGTAACACATGCATGAGCTGCCCCTCAATCAAGGACAATACGAGCTAGGCTAAACATGGACCCGAAGGCTTGCAATTTGTCAAGGGGCTGGACATCGTCAGTGGCAGCTTCTGCCCAGTCATCAACCGTCGAAAACCAGTCTCCTTTGTGCTTATTCGAAGGTTTCGAGCACTACGGACATCGGACATCAGTCTGTGAGTTTGGGCTCTCGTTTGAAAAGCCCCCCCCCCCTCGGCGTTTGAATAACAAGTCCAACATGTAGCTGTTAGCCTTGTTTAGCCTTGGCGTCAGGTTGCAAGCTAAACTCATGTGGAAACTTGTGTTCACAAAAGACGTTTCCTTCTGTGCCTGAGGCACCTTCTCAGTGTATGTCTATACAACTGTAGGGATACACATGCACATGCACATCCAGTATCGCAGGTATGCCTGTCTATACATATATATATATATATATATATATATATATACATATACATATAATATATATATATATATATATGTGTGTGTGTGTGTGCCTACGAATGATGAACGCCCACATACACATACATATACATGTACACATTATGTCATTATGTGATGTCCAGTTGCCTAGACATGCAGATACACATAAGAAGCAGACTCGAAGAAGTGGTCTCTTTAGACCCAAGTGTCGTCGAAGGCCCGCAGACGCGGAAGAAAATCCTCTTCTTCTAGCTGCCTCAGAACAGCACTTTGGACTTTGGTCCTGTCAAATTGTACTTAATCCTTTCTGCGTGCGTATTGCCATGCTCTCAGTTCTCGATGATGAGCTTCAGGATACATAACATGCGAACTGGAGCCACTTCATGCCTGCATGCCGGCCTGCCTGCCTGCAGTTTTGCCTGCACCTGCCTACCTGCCTGGTAGCAACTCATCGATGGACCCGAGCAAAGCAAGCCTTCGGGACTCGAGACAAATCAGCTGAAGCCCGTTAGAGTCCAAGGAGCTCGTAGCGAAAGGCATGGCCGCCAGCCAGCAACACGGCCAAGAAGAGTGCAGCCATGACGGTCGGTTACCTTGGATGTGCGGCAGATGGCTCGACGCCCAAGTCCGTAACGAACGGGCAGCGACTTGGTTCCAGTCAGATTAAAAGAATGCCCGATGCAACCTGTTGCTGGTGGAAACAACATTACAAACTAAAGCCTCTCAGAATGCCACCAAACGCCCTCAGTGTCAATAACCAGGACGCCCAGCAACAGTGCTGGCGCTTGATAGGTGCAACTAAGTGCGCCTAATCGGTCGGGCAAAATAGACATCCCATCATGTCTCATCACAATACGCCGCATGCATGCGTCACACTCCGGCCAAGCAAACGAGCATCTACACACGCCAGCTGAAGGCTGGTCTTTTGCGTTCTTACGGTTCTTACGCTCAAGGGGCTACAGCTAAAGCTGTAGTGCTACTATCAAGATTCCGCAGCGACACCATGTTCGCAACGCACTACATGCTATACGCCTCTAACGAAGCCGGTGCCCCAAAAGCAGTGCCATGCTGCAGGTACGCTTGGATTTGTCAAACCTCCGCGGATGCTTCGGGGCATTGGTTCGCCTTCGACCCCTGAACCGTCACATGTAGCAGACAATAGTCAATAGTCAAGCAGCAACCGCTAAGCCGCTAATTATTTACTAATTACTGCAGTGGCGGAATCAAAAGTCTCCCATGAGTCAAGATTGGGGGTACACCTCAAAGCCCTGGCCCTGACAATGCCAAGCACCGTGACCTAAGCAAGCAGGGCGAAGTGTATTTCAAGTACTCTCAAAACGACGTTCTACCAAGACTCAAGCCCAAACCTAAATCCTCCCCGCCTATTCGTTGTTCATGGGAGGCTGCCCGAAATATCGCCAGCACAAGAGCCGAGAGGTTGCGAAAAGTCGAGTAGTCAGGTTTATCGCCCCACCTGCGTTGGCAGGCCTGGCAGTCTGGCACTACAGGGTTTGCTGGTACCTCTGTGCTTGCTAGAAACCAGGGGCCGGCACCTGACCATGTTCATGAAATGTTAAAACACAGACCCTGTACACATCCCACACATGCCTAAACCATGAAGTCGGGCTTCTCACTCGATCGGCGAAGTGTTGCTTCGGAGTTCGGGCCCAGGGATTCCTGTCCAGGCTAACTGCCTGCCCGTGCACCTACCGCTTGGAACTGAAAGGAAACCGTGGATCAAACATGCATCTATCAGCCCGAGATTTAGCTTGCAACCAATCGGTGTTGTGAGGTGAGCATGGCCGGGAACAGGGTGCATCACGATCGCATCTTGTACATTGTCCATAGACTGTCAAGCAAGACTCGGCTGTGAAGAAATTTGAATACACATCTTCTCAGGCAACACGGAACCTTCGACCGGAAGTTGCCAAGCTCAGGGCGGACATGCAGGTGGATTGAATTCTTGGTGTTCGGATTGCATTCGGTTTTCAACATAGGCGCAAGGCAAAACAGCGCAGCTGCCCTGCGCATTGTATGCTACGGGGCATTACAGGAGATCAGCTGCAGTTTCAGCATTCAGTTTCAGTTTATACCCATACAGGGTATGGGTCTGGCGAACCCCCGGCAAAGCTTTTGCAAACCCCGACTTCCGAGCCGGTCTCCGGTCTTTCGGCGCATGGACAACTTGGTTGGGCTTTTGAAGCCTTTGAAAAATATTAGTAAATAAGATCCTCTTAAGCCCAATAAGGGAAAATATAAAATGTCCCAAAGCCCTACCTAGACAACATAGCTCACAGTTCACTGCCATCCTGCGCGAAACAGTTGGGCAAGCCTTGCAGAGACCAAAGTCGAAAATGCAAAAGCCTGTGTTCAAGTGAGTGAAACAGCAGCCATCGCAGGCACATCATTTTAGCGGACCGACCCAGAAAATCTCGACCGGCCCCTAAATGCACTCCAACCACTGAGTCCCACAAGCCAGGAGCCTGCATTTTCACCTCCCAAGCCCGAGGTTTTCGACCACAGGCCGGGGGATCTCAACACTCTAGCAAGCTTGTTCGCTTCGGAAGAAGCTGCACGCATCTACATGAGTAAAGGTTGCAAGTACAGTATTCACAGAATATGGTCGCACGATCTCACTCTCATTTCCGGTCAAACCAGATCAGATCAACTTGGCTTTTCCATTGCTTTAGAACATCGTCCGAATCTTCCTCCCCTTTTTCTGACTTCTCCGATTTCTCCGACTCCTCCTTCGTCTCACCAGTTTTCTCGCAATGTCGACGTGTTTTCAGCCTCATCTCACGGTTCATGGGACCCTCTCAAAAGCATACTGAAGCAAGGGGACACCGATCAATAAGCCAGTGGATGTGGTACTAAAGAAACCAACAAACGTACGGGGACATAAGCAAGCCCCTATGCATATGTGCATGTGTGTGAACGCATGAATGTTCAAAAGCAAGTTAACAAACAACTAAACCGATGAGAACATGAGTGTGTATATATATATATATATATATATGTATACGGACACATATTGGATGTGCATATGCATGTACGTCTGTATGTGCACGCACGTACGCATGTCTGTGTGTGTAAATGTGTGTGTGTGTGTGTAAATGAATGTGCAGGGGGGTGTGCATATGCAGGAGGACAGATTCTGGCAATATCTGAAAGTAAAAGTGCATCATCAAGAGCATGTCTTGCCGCGAGATCTATGTTGAAGTTGGTCTTGCTTCACTCGTCCATGCTCCTGTCTGTGCAAGAATCTCTGGTGATGTGGATTTATTTCTTGGTTGGAGCCTGGTCCTCTCTTATGTGCCCATCGTCTTCACTGTGAAGCAGAAGTGCAAGCTGAGGAGGTGATGATTTCATTCGGTCCATGAAGTCCCTATTGTCATCCAGCATGTTGCTGATGTTTGACTCGCTGGCCAAACCATAGTCATCTTCGTTCAAGGTAGTTCACTGTTCCTCGGATCCTTGTTCTTGGCTCTTCTTTGCAGAGGTGTTGCCTGCTGTCGAGGTTCTGTACCGCGTTTCCTTTCCTGATCCGTTGCTCTCCGGGAGACTTCCTGACTCTCTGCTGCAATGCCTGCACCTGCACGGCTGTGCTGAAACGGTAGTGATGGTGCCATGATGCTGATCATCATAATCATGTTGTCATGGCCAAAACAGCGAGATTGTGACAAAGAGGTGCGACAACTCGTTATGAAGCTATTTCTCAGTGTCTATGCGTGTATCGCAATTCGTGGCGGCTCCTTGCAGCCAGGCACTTCCGGGCAACCTTCTTCAGCTCCTCCATGTCGGGATAAGCTTGGAGAAGCAAAGGGTGTTTGTGACAAAACTCCAGATAATCACCAGGGATCTTCATGGGGCCCGTGCCACCAAGCACCCCAAAGGTTTGAAGGCCATCAAAAGATGCAGCCACGACCGCAAAGAGTGATAGGAATGCCGCCCCCGCATACTGCCCAACTGCTCGCAGCTCTGCACGCAGCACAGCGGCTTCACGTTGTGAAAGGCTGCTTGAAGGAGAGCCCAGAGAGAGAACGAAAGCACAAAGACAGGCGCATGCGAGGATTGCGCTAAAGAAGCCTACAAAGGCTGCCGATTGTCGCTTGGGGGACAGACCAGACCCAGCCGACCATTGTTTGTATGACAGCCAAACTAAATATGCGAAACAGGCTGCTGGCAGCAGGGAGCTCCAGGCTGTGAAATAAAGCATCCAGTCCAGCAGAGTGTAAAACGTACTCGTCGCACCAGAAGAGTACGAGCCTAAGAACTTCTGAACGACCTCCTCTGCTCTGACAAGTGTGGCTGGTGCAAGCGGCGCGATCATCAAGAAACTCGCGATCTCCCACAAGCCGACGAGCACCCAATAGGCTAGTGCTAGGCGCAAGTACACCTGCGGACGCATGCGGGTCTGAGGCTCGATAGCTTCCCTTCTCCATACCATCAGGTGGCCGGACATCCAGGAGCCACAAGACTGCTCAACATGATGTGGAATCCTGTGGGGCTGGAAATGCAGGTAGTCCCCGAAAATAACACCGCGCAGCCAATCCAAGAGTTCTTCGAAACTGCCCTTCAGCATTAGCATGGGAGTCACTAGCGTAAGCAAGGCCTGTACAGCCGGCATTTGGTAAAAGCATGCGCAGTCTTCATTTTCGACGGGGGAAAGAAAGACTGATGTGCTGCCAAAAGCCCAGTATGCAGCTGTCGATGCGGCACACCCTCGGGCGAGGAGTGACAGAAATGCTGTGTATGCGGCACACTGCCTCTGATTTTCGATGACTAACCAATCGTGAAGAATTCTCAGAACACACCACAGCGTCGCAAACCGCAGGAACCACTCCCGGCCGCTGCCAAGAAGGTGATTCTGGACTCCTTCCTTCACCTCGACATGGGTGCAAAGCCGTCGCATTGCATCAGCGGTTACGTTGGGGCATAATGCAGGTGGCTGATATGACTCGTCCGCACCCGCCGCTGTCATGTGCGAAAATCCAGCTCGGAGGTCCACGAAGTCCTTCCACCACTTGGGAGTGTCTTCGAACGACTCAGACTCAAACCTTGTCATGCGAACGACGTCCTCATGACCGTTCTGCACACTGGCAAAGTAACCATGTGTTGTGGCAATGTTGCCGGCAGGAAAAATCCTCTGATAAACGCAGCCTGCTGCTGACTGGTCGTTGCAGGGCTGATAGCTTTCCGGATCGATGTTCGTAATTGTAACCACAAATGTGAGGGATAAAAATGTCGAGAGGAGCGTCATGCCGGCAGCCCTGGCATGTGGCCAGAACCTCTGCAGGCAGGCCGTGGCATCAGGCCAACAAGCTCCGGCCTGGCTTCCCTCAGTACTATGAGTATCGTCGTCAGAGTTTGCCTGTGATACATCCTGCACGTCGGGAACTGGCTCCGGCAGAACGGTTGCAGAGGCCAAGGCCGCAAGCTCCTCCGCCTCGGTGATTTGACTGTCTGGTGCTGGGGTGGACATCGTGACTCTGCCTTTGCTTTTGTTCCTGCCTCTTTTGGTTCCCCTTCCTCTCTTGGCGATATGAGAAGCCGCACAATCTGGTTCGGGACCTGCCTTCCCGTGCTTTTCGTGATCGCCTAGGTCTGGGTCCTCTTCGGTGTGGAGAGACACGGCAGAGGCGTCCAACACTTCCGAGCCCACGTCGTCTCTGCTTTTTGCATCAGAATGCACTACGGCGGCATCCTGCACTTGCGAGCTCAAGCCCACGTCGTCTGGGCCTTTGTCATCTTCAGAAGACACTTCCAACACTTCGTCGGCTAGCTGCAGGGGCGAGTCCACCGTTTTCGGCAGAGCCTCACGCAGTGCGGCCGAGCTCCCGTATTTGTGGGGCTCGGGCCCACCGCCCAAGTCCCAAGGAGCAGGAGTGTCCGAGGACGCCATGCAGGCGCGAGGGCTCCAAATTCAAAATCCGAAGCGAGGCTGCACAAAGTATGCTTGTGTGTCTTCTGAATGCCAGAGATGCGGTGTCTCTGTGTGCAGAACTGGATGGGTCGAAGGCCTGCATACACTGATCTGGTGCCACTGACAGGTCTGCAGAGAAGGTGTTTAAGCATTACAGCAGGTTTGGGTCCGGACCTGCGCTAGATCCTCAAATCCCCACTTTCTGAACGTCGTGACCACCCAAGCGAATAAAAGCTTCCATGTCAACAATCTGTTGAGAGGTGGTGGATACCCATGTGCTACAAGTCTACGTCTTGCCCCATCCCGGCTCCTCCAAGCAACAACGTACCTCACCACACAACGATCACCAGTTACATAGTTACATGTCGCAGTAAACTTTGTCCTTGTTGGCATTTCCGACGCTTACAGTACCCTTCCTGGTTGGAAGACTGCTGGGAATCCAAAGGCTGTGACGCTGACCAGGTTCTCTTCCTACTGCCAGAGTCACTACCACCCATGCGACGACGAAGGACGATGACGACGGCGACCGCGACGCCTCCAGCCGGCTACAGCTACAGCCGCTGCTTCTGCCTGCTGCTACCGTATCTCACAGTCAGTTGTCATTGGAGTGCACAGCAATCGCTTTCCCATTGAAGTGGTCCCTTTCACGCTCCGTCACGTCTGTGCAGCGACGTTGGCGGGGTGGGCGAGTGGGTGCCTTCGGCAGGCCCAACAGTTCCAACAAAGACTCGACATGCAAGTAGGATGAATTCCGGTTCCACTTTGGGAAGATGCTAAAGGTGTCTGCAGCCGGCTGAGGAACGCTGCGAAAGTTTGAGGTCCAACCTCTGCATCCAATCTTCCATGATTTATGGCAGCTGAACAGCCACCGTCTAATGCAGCCAAAAATGGACCGCGTAGAAATGGCGGCTTTGCACCTCACTGAACTGCAGACTTGTGCACAGCTCATGCCACCATCTTTCGCAACCGTGTGAGTCAAGTCTACCAAGCTGCCCGATGGGCCAGAACCCTGGCCCGAGACCTCACACCCTACATGACATTAAGGTCCTAAACCCTGAAACCGCCATCCCCAAAACCCTCACATCTCAAGCCTGCAGAACCTCCAAAACAATCGAAATCAAACATCGCCAGCTCACAGGGTCGAAGCATCGACCTTGCTGGCGACCAAGCCTGCAAGTTCGTGGACTGCCTGGGATGGATTTAAGGCTTCCTTCCAGGTTTCAAGGCTCCGGGTATCTGGAGCTCAGAGTTCAGGATATATCTTTTACCCTGTTTTTGCGGCCCACCTTTATCCAACCGCCAAGGTCGAGACGTCACAAACCCTGGAGCCTGCTGGAGCCTCAGCCCCACTACCAGGCCATAGCTACAGGGTTTCGGGCTAAGTGTTTGGGGTCTACCAGGTGTACGCAGGCTTAGGAAGCTGGCTTAAGCCAAAAACTTTGGATAATTGTTGCCTTCCGGAAACATAGCCGCGAGCTGAGAATCCAGCCTACAGGGCACCACAGAGGTCACATGACTCCGCAGAACCCTAAACAACTCGACCTGAAAATTGACGAGTGCAGCATAATGGAGCACAAAAGGCAGCTACTAGAACAAGATTCACAAAATGCTGAATCGCTCCTGTAAGGGCCGAGGAGTTACAACGGTACGCGTGCGAATTATCATTCTATCGACGACCCCAAAACACCTCCTGTTCTCGTGAGATTCTGGTTTATTGATTTTTGGGCAGGCCCTAGGTCAAGCCGGTGATCCTCTACAGTGCTAGGTCCTTGTGAAAATCAGCCGTCGAGTCAAAATTCGAGTAGGTACTTCGAGACTTCGCATAGCAAATTTCAGTTTCCGGGTGCCGAGGGGCATGTTACATCATCCATTACCGCCTGGGGTTACCTTGTATCTTGCTGTGCTTTCGGCCTTTGCGAAGAGCCTTAAACCCTAGCCCTTGTCTTCGTTTAGAGTTTTCGAAAATGGGGACCCTATTATCGTAGCCTAAATAGTAGGATCCTTATTATAAGGACCCCAAAATAAGGTGCCCGTTTTTACCAGAAGGATGGCGAAGATCCGAGGCCGCGGCCGCACGGTGTTCACGCTGCCCCGCCGCCATCATCTCTTCGAGTCGAGCGAACTGCCTGCTTCGCTGCGGGACAGGGTTTACGCTCTCACAACTCGGACACAGCCAGGCGAGGTTCTTAGGTGCGGAGTCGGTGTGAAAAGAATTCAGGCGCGATTCTCACTTGTGCCAGTTCACCACGAAGGACACAAAAGCACATTATAGGCTAAAACGCCACAAGCAAGGGCAAACTGGTACGAGAATCTACGACAGTTGCCCAGTGTTCCCCAATCACCACAAGGATAAGGTTGAACACAGACTACACACGCATAAGTTCAAAGCTACAGCACCAGGAACCATCTGGTCAACTGTCCAGAGTGTACTCTGGTCTTCGACTGTCATCCAGTTTCTGACAGCAACAAGTTAAAGGCTACATTGAACACATTGACACAACAACATATAGACTTGACAATGCAGAACACTGGAGGACGTCATGCCAACTACCATCATCGGTTCTAGGTCTAACTACTTCACGGGTGTACTCGTTGGGCTACTTTGAGCATGAGGGTGCAAAGCAAAATCCACTCCAGGCCTTTCTAGAAATACATGGGTAACCGGGGGCCTTTCGTGGATTCCCACAGAGCACCGAACTAGTTGTAGTGAAACTTGCGGTCTCTCATCCTCATTGTGTCCCTTGCAAGACGACGCAGCGGTGCACACAGTAGGTCTGTATGCTTCGCAGGAATTCACTCGAGGCACAAGGTTCAGATCTGGAACTGCCCATTGGCGACTGTCAGGTCTCAAGGCGCTCACGCCCATGGCACTTTCGTCACGCACTGGCCCCGCAACTTCCAGCTAGGGACTCGCGGTGTACTTGCATTTCCCAAGCCAATACGAAAAGCCAAGCAGTGTTCGCAACATAGCCACATGAAGGCAAAATGCCCTCGAGGACATTAGTCACAATGCAGTGCAGAGCGGTGCAGTACTTCTTGTTATTGCAATGCGCGACGTGATCAACATCGGTCAGCACGTGTCCGGGCACGCATGGAAACAAGAGATTCAGCATTCGCTTCACAAGAATAGCAAGATCACAGAAAAGCCACAAGCCCAGGTCAGTGTAGTGCAAAGTAGCATGATGAACATTGTACCACGATCTGCCCAGTTTGCTTTTTGTGCAGCTTCCGGGTCGATGTATTCCCGTCGAAGGTCAGCTCATATCTGGAAATGCCATGGCTCTCCGCGCGGGGCGGGGGATAGTGGTTTGGTTATCAAAAGAGGGGAAGGTACTACAAAACAAGCCATATCACACAATACAAGTGAAAAACCGTACCCCAGAGGCAACGACAGGTTTAGGATTTAGGGGTTTATAGGGTTTAGGGGTTTTTCCCTCTCGCCTGGCGGGTTTAGGGTTTCGGATTTGGGGTTTGGAGTTTAGGGGTTTCGGCACTCACACTCGGGCAATCCAGGCGAGGCAGATGGTTCGGAGTCTGTTGAGCTTACGGTTCAATTGGGGGTTTAGGGGAAACTTGGCTCTGGTTTGCAGCTAATCCGGCTCCTGCTGAATCTAGTTGTGGGAAGCTTCGTTTACCGAGCGGCTTGTGCAATCTTTCCTGCGCGCGCCTAGATTAAACAAACTCCTCTACATTGGAGCCTCTGCGTGGAGAGTGCAGAGTTCCGAGGCACGCCCACTCTGGCACATGGTTGCAGAAAGTACGGCTTCGACAGTGCTTGTAGTGCTCTCGTCCGTTTGTCCATGCTAGAACATTCGTGCAACGCACTGCAATGTTATACTGGTCAGCTGCATAAGGTAGGGAGGGTTTGTTCATCAGTAATGCTTTGCGGCCTGGCAAGTTTCACGCTCTCGGTCTCAGTGTGCAGCTTCTGGGCAACAACATTTTGTGCGAACACTTCTCGAAGGGATGCCGATCAAAGCCCCGCCCCTTTCTGTGCCCGAGGCCCGACCTCTTTGTCAGCTTCCGATGCTTGCTGAACAAGCTGGCCAGCTTGCGGCACTCCAACCTTAACAAAGAGCTTTCAAACCTCAGAGACGTGCTACCAGATGCCTGAAACAGGGCCTGCTTCGTTGCTAGTCACCATTCTGCAGCGCTGCAGCTACTGCTGCTTAGTGCTAGTCACCATTCTACGGCTCTACGGTCCTGCAGCCAGTGCTGCTGCAGACCGGAACAATGATGGCCCAGTGTTCGATCGTGCAGCCTTTTGTCTAAACTATATAAAGATGCAGAGGCTGAAGTACAGCCCAACATCAAGCATGGGCGACGAGCACCGGACAGCTCAACAGAACAGCAAGTGTTCCTGGGCCAGCCACATCAAGGTCTCGAGGTCGATCCCTTTGGCCATGCCTTTCAGTCGCCTGGTGTCGGCCGCTGCGGACACCCCCCCGCACCGCTAAGAATCCCAAACTGCTACTGCTCGGGTCTATAGGGTTTGCTATACAGCTCTCAACATTCGGACTCTGGTCTAGGGTTCGCGAAGGGTCCAGACATATCCAGATCTGAAGCGCCACAGGATTTGGACTCGGGGCGTGAGCACCTGCGTCTGTTCGAAGAGAAAGAATGGATATGCGCACAACGGCGACAAGAAAGCCCAAAAGTACTTAAGCCGATGGTGCACCCCGCAAGACCTTTGTTGCATGATCCTCGGCCCCTCCTCGGACATCGTTCTTGCAAACCTCTTTTGAACAAAATGGGCTTGAAAGGTGTTGAAAATCCGCACCCGGGGGTCCTAAAACCTCAGCCACGGCGCATGCAACCCATCACAAACTCGTCAAGCTCCAGCTCGTGGCTCCTCGATGTGGCTTTGAGGGTTTCCAGCACGAGGCTTCGTCATTTTATAGGGCTTCAGGATTTTACATGTCAAGGTAAGCCTCGTCATTCTTGCTTTAGGCTTAGAGCTTGAGGTTTCGTTGCCGTTG